GATCCTTTATGGATCCTTTATGGATCCTTTATGGATCCTTTATGGATAAGGAGACAGGCTTCCAGAGACTGGATGCCATGAGGCCCCCAGTGACTTAGGGGGACCAGGAGTGGGCTCTCCTGCTTGGCTGTCTTCTCCCGCCCCTGGTCTTATCTCTTACATCATCTTCAGACAGGGATGTATTAGATGTAAAAAGGATTCTTAAAGTTTGAAACCTACCGTGGTGTCCACGGCCTTGACTGCTTCTGTGGGAATGTGCTTTGGAACAGGCTCTGCCTGTGACAGTGTCACACATCCTGAAGCCCCTAAGGTGATGACCACAACCTGGCAGCCCCGTTCTAGGAGAACCAACGCAGCCTTCCCAGCCGTGGTCGGGTCACTCACGGCATGGCCGGTTAGAATCTCAGCCTGGAAGACACACAGAGAAGGAGCGGTGAGAATAGACATCAAGGTCTGCTCACATCTGCCCTTCAGGAAGCATGGCTCCCTCACCTCTCATAACACGCAGGGCAGTGGGAACCTTGAAGGATATCTGCACAAAGCATAAATAAGAGGAACAAAATGAGGACAGCGCAAGTAGCGACTTAAAATCCTGACAGTTTCAGTGTTTGGGAGGGCAAGAGTTAATGCCCAAAACAAAAACTCTAAACAAAACAACACTCTCAGTGGCTGGAGAGATGGCTCTGTGATTAAGAGCACTTGTTACTCAAACAGAAGACAGGTTTAGTTCCCAGCAACCACATGGTGGCTTGCAATCATCTGTACCTCTAGTCCCAGAGGATTTGACCCTGGCTTCTGGCCTCCCCAGGCACTAGTCACATATGAAGCGCACATACATATATGCAGGTAAAACACTCAAACGTATAAAATAAATCTAAAAACAATTTTTTAATTCTTGGGACAACTTTGGTTTTCTCTGTGTAGCCTTGGCTGTCCTGGAACTCACTCTGTAGACCAGGCTGGCCTCAAACTCTCAGAGATCTGCCTGCCGCTGTTTCCTGAGTGCTGGGACTAAAGGTGTGCACCACCTGACTTGTTTTTACTTTTCAATAAAAACATATAAAAAATAAATACATGCCTGGGATGGGCTAATCAATGTAGCTGTGTCAACGGCTTTCAGGCTGTGTGGAGACTGACTACTCTCTCAGTTCCTCTAGATATAGAACTTGGGACAACAGAAGGAAGGTGGGAAGTGGAGAGGGCGAATTTATTATATAGCAATAGGCAAGTATATAACAGGGACAGGATACAGTAAGACTAATGCTGTGTAAATTCTTAATGGAATTTGTAATTTAATGGAGAAGATACATGAGCTGAATAAATATTTTGGCTGTGGAAACTGTCTGAAGAACAAACAGTGTCTTTTAGGTTTCTACTAGGGAAATCTAAGCCAGTTTGGTGGTTGAAAGAAATGTAACCTCATATTGTGAAATGGTCTCTATCTCCCACAATTCCTTTTTCCTAGATTAATGCCTGGCCATGGCGGTTGCTCAAAAATGTTGCATAAACTACTGTGGTTTGTTAAAATTAGTTTCCATGAAGCAGCCTTCTTTGTCCTGTACGTCCTGACAGATGAAATTATCAAGCAAGCAGGTTAAGAAAGCCTAGACCTTCCTTTGGCCTTAGAGCCAAAGAAAAGCTAGCCTTTACTGACCAACAGTCCATTTCTCTGTGTGTGTCGCATCTCAACGATGAGAGAGAATTCTAGTCAAAGGTTGTCTTAGGAAGGTGGGAAGTGGAGAGGGAGCACTACCAGGGACTCTGTGAATGCTGCACCTGTAAACAGAGGCACGGAAGCTGGCCGCCATTGCGCAGGCCTGCCCTGCCCTGCTGGCGCCCGGTCTCGCTGGCGCGCGGTCTCTCTCAGTGTCTCCCTCACGCTCTTGCAGACGCCTTGGATTTATTGCCTCTATTTGTCGTCATTCCCAAATCTTCCTTAGATCACGTACAACAAACGAGGAGGGTTTGTGCAGGGTCAGGATTTCTCTCCCGGAACAGTAGAGAGTCTTGGGGTGAAACTGGGCCAGGGAGGCACCCCTCTGCCATCTTTGGGGTGCTTTTCTACTTGTGACACAGGTAGTTAAAAAAAGCACTGGATGAATTAGTACTTTTTGACTCAAAGTGTATGAGTAAATTCTCTTTTCCATATTGTAGTTTAACCATATGCTATATAAAACTGCATGTAAGCCCTGCCTGTAGTTGCTGTGAATATGTCCAAATTAAACACATTTGTTCAACTTTAGTATTAATTAGTTCCCCCCTCCCGCTTTACTCTCAACACTCAGGAGGTGGGGACAGCTGGAGCTCTGTGAGTCTGAGGCCAGCCTGGTCTACAGAGTGAGTTCCAGGACAGCCAGGGCTACACAGAGAAACCCTGTCTTGAAAAACCAATAAAATAAATGAATAAGTCCAGAAAATGTGAAATACTTAAAAGAGAAAACAATATGTGAATGTTTGGGGACTGGAGGGTGCTGACATGGGGAGAGGCTTAATGAGTGTGAGATTATGGGGTGCGGTCTGGAATCCTTTATGGCCACAAAAGGCTCAGTCGTCTCCTTTCCTCCACACCCCAATTGAAACTGAATTCCCATGTGCTCAGTTGATATGGCTTATCCTGCCTCTCTGTTTTATCTAGTTGCCTGCAGGTCCCCCAAGGGAAGAGCAAATCAGTGGACTCTACCTCACTCTCGTTGCAGCAGAACACACTGGAGAGGGTATAGAACTGGGGCTCCAGGTCAGCCATGGCTGGAGCTGGGTTGAACAAGGTTGTCACTGCAAAGGAATGGGAAAGGGGCTCAGTAGTTATCATTTAAAAATATTGATTTAATCCTTTTACTTATCTTTTCGGTTAGATATAAAATAATGGGGTTGGTGAGCATACAGACTCTAAGGGAGAGAAAGCTGAAGGTGGTGACGTTTAAACTCACCAGATAAAACCATCTGTGAAACCACAGATAGAGAAAGGTTTGGGGTCTCAGTCTTCATGAGCAGCTTCAAAGGGCAAGCATCACATTTACGACTAACATGAATCGTAAATGTCGGGGGAGGACAACAAGAACATTAAAGCAAAAGTGTGGTGTGGAAGGACATGTATGAATTCGGATGGAACAGTGAACACTTCTGGAGGCCAATTTAAGTGCTTATCTGTGGGGTGGGTTCACAAACTCATGGTTCAGGGAAGAAAAAAAGCAACAGGAAAGAAGCAGCAAAGAATGGAGACTTTCCTGGTAGTAACAGCATGTAGGAAACTGAGGTAAATATGCGTATTTGGTAGACTCAAGTATGCCTCCAAAATAGATAAAAATTACTCATGCCAACACACACACACACACACACACACATCAGCAGGCACGGAAACACACACGCACGCACTCACGCACACCACCACCACTATACACCCCCGCCCTATCCATTCTTGGCTTCTGGGAGTTCTCTGGGAATACGATAAGATTGAGAAAGTGGGGAAATCTCCTTCAGAGACTTAGGTGCTAGCTCAGACTAGACAACTACAAGAGAAGGATGGGAGAGGGCAGCAGAGCAAGAGCAGGAGACGGTCACAGTTATTACACTGACAGAGGAGAAAAACAAAGCGTCGAGAGATCGGGCCAAGTGCTGGATGTCACACGCACACTCTTGGATATGGGGAGGCTGGGACCTAACCAAGAGTCCCTTGGCTTTGATTTGAGGGCTTGATCCTCTTTAAAATAGCAACTTTTCTAGACCAGGGCTGTATCCAGAGCAACACATTCCTCCAGTACAAATGCACAATATTACACAACAGTTTTTGGTGTGAAATTCTGCAGATTATTCTAAAGGCTTTAGAAATTCCATTTGAAAACCACTCCTGCTTTGTGACAAAACAACTGGGCTGGCCAGATCTCTGTTCTTAGCCTGGATCCACAACCTCACAGGGTAAATAATCCACCTGACTAGTCCCAAATAAGATCCTTCAGCTGCAGTTCTTAGGGATTGCTCTAGAACAATGGCTATAAATGTGTTTACAGGCCAGGAGAGCCTGTTCAGCTAGGTTTTCTAGGCTCCACGTCCAGCCCACTGAATCAGAATCCTGGGCTATGATCAGAGGACACACACGTTCACAAGTTCTCTCGGTGACCCTCGCAGCTAGCTCAGCAGTGACACAACCCCCTTTCCTGGTGAGTGCTCATGGCTGATAAAGACCCTGGTTGCTGCAACACTGTGAGCAGGTCCAGCCTGCGTCTGTACCTTCCTAGGTCTTAACAGTTGGGTCAGTCAGTGGTCTCAGCTAGTATAGGCTGACAGCATCACCACATTTTTGTTACTTTAGACTTTAAATGTCCTCCCACATAAATTGTATGCTTTTAAAAAAATCCTGCTCAGATTTTTATACAGGGCAATTGTTTGGCTTAAATTAGAAAGTGCATGTAAGAGCCCTACATAAACTATAAAGTGTTGTCCAAATATGAGGATTATTACTGTTATTATAGTGTCCTTTGCACACAGCTGACACCTACGCCTGTCCACCCCTCTTCTTCCTTCTGATAGAGTGTGTAGCACACCAACAACTTCTCAGTGGGTTTCTCATGTCTTGAAGGGTTAGAGTTGTCCATTATACATGAAAGTCCTGAGGGTCCAGCATTTGAATGCTGCCAGGTTTTAGGTTTTCTAAATAGCTGGGTAGTCTGAATGAGAACAGCCCTATAAGCTCATATGCTTCAATACTTGGTCCCTAGTTTATGGAACTCTTTGGGAAGGATTAGGAGGTGTAGGCTTGTTTGAGGAGGTGTGTCTCTGGGTGGACTTTCAGATTTCAAAAGTTCTGCCATTCCCAGTTAGTGGTCTCTGCTTCATGCCTGTCTAAGATGTCAACTCTCAGCTACTGCTCCAGAACCATGCCTGCCTGCCTGCTGCCATGCTCTCTGCCATGATGTCCACAGACTCTAAGCCCTGAAACTGTAAGCTCCAAATAATGATTTCTTCTATAAGGTGCTGTCTTAGTCAGTGTTGTTTTACAGTGAAGAGGCACTATGACTTCAGCAACTCTTATAAAGTTAAGCATTTAATAGGGCTGGTTTACACTTTCAGAGGTTTAGTACATTGGCATCATGGTGGGAAGCACGGTGGCATGCAGGCAGATGGTGCTGGAGAAGTAGCTGAGAGTTTTACATCTGGTTTTGTAGGCAAAAGGAAGAGAGAACCACTGAGCCTGGTTTGGGCTTCAGAAACCTCAAAACCCACTCTCAGTGACACACTTCCTCCAACAAGGCTATGTCTCCTAATCCTTTCCAATAGTGCCATTTCCTCATGACTAAGCATTCAAATCTATGAGTCTATGGGGGCCATTTCCATTTAAACCACCACAGTTGCTTTGGTCATGGTATCTTATCCCAGCAAAAGAAAAGTAATTAATGCAAGCATATTGTGCTCTGTTTTCCTCCAGCATTAAACTGAATGCAGTTGCTCATCTAGAGTGATCTTCAGGCCTGTATTCCTACGCACTTGGGCACAGGTACTGTAGCAAGCTACCAGTAATGAAGATGCAGGATGAAGCCATTCTCTGAGAAGTTCCATTTGTTTCCTCCAAAGATCCAGGGTCTAGCAGGGTCCTTTTCTATTCGTGTCTTACAGAAGGTGACAAGCATACGGCTATGAAGTCTGGAGATGCTCATGCTGCTGCTTATGATGGAAAACCAAAGGAATCCCACACACCTATCTGATGAGTTGCTCGACAAGACTGCACTGGCTGGTCTAACTAGATTAACTCGTCCTCTTTTTCCTTGGTCTATGTGATCAGTACTCTAAAGCTTCTAAAATGAATGAGGCCATCAATACTTTGTTATCAGAGAAACATCTCTATTCTTTATTAACCAAAAAGAAGGCAGTCTTGTGCCAATCTTTCCTTCTAAAAGAAAACGAAGCATGGCTATGTGTGTATATGACTGATAGAAGAGAAGGAACCCGAGAGGTCACTCACTAAACTCACAAACGGTCTCCTATAAAGTATGGTGGGACTAAGTCTGATGGTAGATCTAGTGTTGTACGTCATGGAAAGACCTCATTCTTTGTACAGGCACAGTATATTCTTCCAATGAAGAAATGATACTCCCTTTAGTACTGGAGGACAGTGGATAATAAATTAGCAGCCTAGTGAAATGCCATCAACAGCTGAATGATGGCATTATGTGGGTTTACTACGCTGTTCTCCCTGTCTCTATATTTGCTATTTTCTACAATGAGAACAAATGTTAAAGAAAATCACATTGTATTTTAAGTATTGATGGCTGGAGTGAGGGACTCTATAAATTTATTATTATAAATATTGCAAAAAATCAAGCAAATCCTCTTTGCCTGTATTTCACTGTGGGGGCGGGGGGCATTCTTTCCTTCTGCCACTGGTTATGCAAGTGCAGCAACTGATGTGTAGTTTATGGTCCCTAAGCATAGGGCAGAAGTGAAAAACGCTATAAGGAAACCATTCCTGTTGAGTTCTGCTGCATCAATAAACAGAAACCCTTTCCCAGGATGAAGAAACATGAGGAACTAGTGGATGCAGGTAGTTAAAGAGGAGCACAAATATATAATCCCCTAGATGGAAAGATGGTGTCATCCTGGGACCAGGTAAAACCAGAGATGTGGAGCTACAGAGCAGGTGACAGCACACAACAGTAATCATCACTCATTACAGAGGGAGATGCACTAAACTCCGGGTATCTTAAGCACACACCAATGGCTGACACAGTAATGTTGATGAGGAGCTGGCGGAGTCTAGGGGAACAGCTAGTAGGCTGGAAAATGGGGTGGAAGAGAGGATGGCCAGTTAAAAATGCCCTGAGAACTTGATCAGAAGGATGGAGGACCAATGTCACTCCTAAGCAAAGGATTGGAGGAAAGTGGGTACCCCAAAGCTGGCTTGGGTGTCTTTCTATTGAAGGTTGTTTTCTTAGACTTGAGCTGTAAAACAGCTCCAAGTTTGGCCCACATGTGGGACAATGTTATTGCAAAAGTCTACAGGGCCAGCCAACAAGTTCAGCTTGCCAAATGGAAAAGGGCTAAAGTGGCATTAAAAGACACTCTGTATCATACCTAGGATTTAATCTTGGCGATCTGACAATCTCAATTATTTATAATTGTCCCTGTAATGTTCCATTTGCTTTGAAATGGATATAAAGACCAGACCCAACACGAACAGTCTCACCACCAGCAGCCACAGTGTCAGCTTGCTGCAGGTCTACCTAACTGCACTGACCCACTGGGGACTGATTTTGTTGTTTTTTGTTGTTAGCACTGTGTCTAAAACTGCTTTCATTGGGTAAAACCAAGGAGAATTTTGAGACAGTGTGTTCAAGATGAAACTTTTCATCTGCATTTTAAAAACTGATAGAACATCCAGTTCATCAGTTATAAATTTTACAGCATTCTGAGCCATGCGGTCAAACCTCATGCCATCCTGATCCTTCTCCCCTGGGATCTGACTCACTCTATCAGCCTGTATATTCCACTTGGTTAGCCACAGGGTTGGACTGTTCAGGTATCAAAGTGCCTGTGTTTGGGGAATCCCTATGTTGTTTAACAGTGGCTCCATGGCATAAGAATAGTGAGATTGGAATTCAGATATGCCAACACTTTCACTTTTGGTGAAGAAGTCTAAGTTTTTTACCTAATGAGGTAAGAAAAAGCTGTATGCCGAGGTGGCTAAGATCAAATATAACCATAAAACTGGCAGGAAGGAAGATAAAATAGTGTTAGTTCTGACTTTGTACCTTAAGATGCAGAAGCTATGGCTCTACTCTGTGTAAGAGCTTATCAAGAAGATGCAGAAGTTATGGCTCTAGGATGTGCTCGAGCTCATCAAGACACAAAGGGCGCTGGAGTAGTTGAGCACCATGGCAGCGTCTACAGAGGCTCTGGAATACGCCTTCTGCAGACTAGATGGGACTACTGTGTAGGAAAGATCATGCAGAATTAATTCGGATGCACACTGGATCTTCTTAAAAATATGAAGTAGGAAGCCAGGTATGGTGGTGAATACCTGTAACCCTGCAACTGGAAGACAGAGGCAGGAGGATAAGAAAGTCAAAGCCAACACAGGACTTTGTTTCAAAACAAACATACAAACAAAAGTTAGAGTAAGCCATATGGCCAGTTGCTTCAGCACTCTCCCCTCTTCTTGAAGTCATAAGACCTTCAGCTTCTGAAGAGGATGAGCGACAGGTGACAAAGGAAACATTTCTGGACACCCCCAGAGTGACAGGCTGTGGTTGGTCAGGCTGCCTATGTGTCAGGCTGACGCTAGCTGTCCCTGTGGAAGGCTAGGGTCTCATCTGTGCTGGCTGTATGGTTGTCTCCTCCACCAGCTGGGTGGGCTGCCAGGAACTAGAGGAGGAAATAGTGCTCTCTGAGAAGTGGGGGTAGGAGGAGACACAGGCAGGAGACAGCAGTCACTGTGCCTGCTTAGAATGAGTGCAAGGCACAGACTGGGTTTTTGTTTTTGACATTGGCTCTCATGTTAGCTCTAGCTGGTCTTGAACTTTCTGTATAGTTGAGGATGATCTGACCCTCAAATATTATTTGCAAAAATCGCATTTGTTCATTTATTGTGTCTGTGTGTTTCTGTGTGTTTGTGCACATTCTTACACCAGAGCTCGTATGGAGCTCAGAGGACAGCTGTGGTCTATATCCAGTCCTTTCCATGTCCTTACTGTGTAGTCCTGGAGATGGAGCTTGGGTCACAGGCTAGGCCCTAAGTCTCTTTAATTTCATCTCACCGACCTGCTCTTGAACTTCAGATCTTCCTGCCAGCACCTCCCAGGTCCTGGGATTTCAGGGGTGCACGAGCACATTTGGTTTATGTAGCCCCGGGGACCCAGCAGGATCTGTACATGCTAGGTACTCGCTCTACCAGCTTGGCTACCTCCAGCTCCAGACTGCTCACCACGAGCATGGGACTCATCTGTGACACTTTGAGAAAATGCAACCGAATGAATTTTGGCTTTGAATTCTTTCTGACAGCTTTGAGTCCATTAAAAATACAGTAAATGTCAGTGAGAATTTGCCACAGTATATTGTTTTGCCAAAAGGAAAAACTTTGTGAAATCAGTATAAACACTGTAAAATTCTCCACAAAATCATTTCAGAGATTTAGTTTCCTTAAAGAAGAACCAGATTTATTTATTGTGGGGGAGGGGTGTGTATACCTGCCACAGTACACCGGTGGAGGCCAGATGACAGCTTGCAGGAGGTGACTTTTCCTTCTATGATATAGTTCCCAGGTATTAATCTCAGGTCCCCAGGCTTAGTGGAAAGTGTCTGTGCCCAGTAAGCCACCTTGCCAGCCCTCAATGGCATATTTTCCACTCACTGCCATATAGAACATGAAATGTTTTAAGAGAAATCGTGTACATAAAGCACACATCCAAACACAGATATACCACACACATCTATTCTGTCTTCTGTGGCCAGGCCACCCTGATGTGCCTGGTAGTGTCTGTGTATACTATAACCTGTTTTCATCTTCCTTATCTCACAGTTTCCTGGGATGTCTTAACAGGGAAAGTCGATGTAGTTCTCTATATTGTTATTATGTATCGCATAACTATTGCTACAACGGCAAACAGAGGCCATTGTCATGACAGTAGCTACTTTTTGTCTTGGGCAAATGGTGATTCATCAAGGTATTATCCTATTATTTTTGAGACAAGGTCTGGTTTAGGCTGGCTTTCAACTCCCTATGTAACCCAGCTGATCTCAAATACATGGTTTTCCTTCTTCTACCCCTTGGAGCTGGGGTACCAGGTGTACACTGCCATACTAAGCAATTCCAATTCTAATTTAGAGAGGAAAATAGGTAGGAAGGAAGAAAACTAGGACTTAGTTGCGAGTGTGGCATCATATCTTATGTCACTCTATCCACAAAACAAGTCTACGGGACACACTTCTATCTGGATTTCACAGAGAGGTTCAGAAAAATTAGCTAATATTCCTAATACTCCAAACCTACCAAGGGGTAAAAATGGGATCCTTTTTCTCCTAGGAATTGGAGGAAAAAAAGAAATTAACTACCAAGATTAAAAAGACATGCTCACGCATTGTTTGTTGTGAGGTCTAGATGGGGAGAAGAGAAACCCAGGTTAGCTGCGTGGCTAACTCCCGACGGCACCTCATCATACAATGCTGCCTATTTGGGTCGGTTTGAACATTTTCAAGATCCAAGGTAAAGCAAAAGACACTGGCAACTCACACCCATTATATACAAATAGGCTCTTATGTATTGAAAAGATGATACAATTTTAGAAAAAAGAGAAAGAAGGAATCTTTGTTTTTGGTTTTTTGAGACAGGGTTTCTCTGTGTAGCCCTAGCTGTCCTGGAACTCTCTATGTAGAGCATGTTTGCCTTGAACTCACTGAGGTCCTATTGCTTCTGTCTCCTGAGTGTTGGGATTAAAGGTGTGCACCACCAAACCTGGCTAAGAATGAACCTTTGACTGTAGACAGGAGACAGTATGCAGTGGGAACAGCCTACTTTCTCTGTTACCTTGCTGCGTGCTTCCGAGGCCCCTGTTATGCCTTAGGTCGATTCTGCAAACTAGACTCCAGATTTTATATTTAGGGATATCGGATATGCTACTCATGTTATTTTTATCCTATTTGTGAGTTTTTCTTAACATTATCAAGAACTACAAGCCGGTGAATCTCACAGATGGAGGAACGAATATTTTACTACAAAGTAATGCTTTACTCAACTTGAAAGGTTAACTTTAATTAAGACAGCGCTACAAGCTCTCCCAGAAAGAGTGACAAATCTGTAACGTTACCTCCACTCCTGTGGGCCATTGTCAGAGCTTCCAGAGAAGTTGCTGGGCTTACTTCTAGCTGGCAGATCACCACTTTGGCTCGGCTAATGACACTGGCTGCCTCTTTCAAGTCTTCAGCATTCAAAAGCAGATTTGCTCCAGCCACTATGACGATGATATTCTGGCCTATGAAGAAATTCTACATATTTATACTAAACCAAGCAAAGCCAAGCAGTGATATGCTGTACTGTAAAAGCATCCTCTGAAGGCATTATACAGAATGTGTTAGAAGAATTAATCTTAACATTTCCAGGACATTCGGGTTTAGTTATTGTGTTCCAAATGTGTTTTTTGGCACTGTTTTTGTGAGATTCATAATATTCTGATTATTTTTAAAGGAGATAGAGTCTTGCTTCGTTTTCTGGGCTAGCTTTGAGCATCTGGGCTCAAGCGCCCCTCCTGCCTCACCTTCCTGAATAGGAGGGACTGTTAGCACACACTACTCTACCTGACCCACTATGAGCACTTAATTAATTTACATGTGTTTGTTTATTGTGTGCATGTGTGAATGTGTGTGTATGCATGTACACCATGAGCATGCGTGTGAGTTGCAGGGACAGAACTTATGTCTCCAGGGCTCATCCTGCAGGGCCATCTCTCCAGCCCAGTTATTATGATCACTTTGAACAAAACTTTCAGCATATTTTCCTTATTAATATTCTTATATACAAAGAGTAATAGTTGAGAAATGATGTATAACATTCTTTCACAATTTCTTTTATGTGAAATGGTTAATGCATGCATATGGTAAGGATTGTGAATTTTAAGTGATAAGTACCATGTAGATGAATATAGGTAGGAATAACCCTGCAGAATGCTCCAAACAAATGCTCTCCTGCATATGATGAGCAGCTCATGTGCATGCCATGCTCTTCCCCAAAGTGATCCCTAACACATTTTAAAAAATATCGAAAAGACAGAAAATATATGAGATAGTTAGTCTCTTATTTTATTTGGTCTATACTGTATAGACTAGACAAAGAAATACAACTAAGGATTTGATAGACTCTCATGACCTGAACACACTCTCTATAATTCTTTTATATATCCACATAGGAGGTGGTAGTGATGTACCTTATATCTCTCTCTTCCTCCCTCCCTCCCTCCCTCCCTCCCTCCAGAAACGAAAAGACAACACAGACCAGGAATTGAATTGAATGG